TAGCACTGCTTTCATTTTGACAATGGCTGCTAGCTATAATTTATAGTTTAGGCAAACATTAGTCTGGGCCCCAGCCCCTTCTGGGGCCCAGACTAGGCAAACATCAGTCATCATGAATGAATGCTGGAAAGTGAATTATCTTCAGTCAATTTAGGGCGTGGCTCACTGCATTTTTTCCCGTTGCCATGGTGTTGGGTTAGTGTTGTGAAGATGGAAGGTGAGTAACTTTATTCTCTTTTCTTTGTTTCTTATTCTCTCCCTTACTTTACTCCTCTGTATCCTCTGCTTATTATAACTATTCACTATATTACTGTGTCCTCTTGTTATCTATAGTCTATCAACCAGTGGAGAGGTACGGTCACTCTACAGTACAGGTAGGAGACTACCTGTACATGTGGGGTGGGTACCAGCCTGATCTCCCTGAAGTACACAATAACGAGAAAAAGAAATCAATGTGTTCTGTAGTGGAGGTCTGTCACCTACCAACTGGTGAGTGGGTACAAAAGCCTACCACTGGTGACCTTCCACTTGGTGTCAAGGACTATGCTGCTGCTGTCATTAGAAATGAAATATATTTTTTTGGAGGAGATTGTGGTCATTATGACTGTTATCATAATAGTTTATACAGGTAAACATAATAGTTACCGATAAATATTATATAATATTTTATACAGTTTTAATGTTGATACCTTCAATTGGAAGGAACTCTCTCCTACTACATCTCATCATGGCCCTATGATGAAGGATGGCTCCGGCATGATAGCAATAAAAGTGAAAGATGAGGACTATTTTGTAGTAATTGGAGGGTGTGGACCATCTTCTAATAATACCCCACAACAACCTGGTGCCCAGTACAGTAAAAGTGGTGATATTCAATGGTGCAATGAAATACACATGTACAGATTAAAAACTGGTCAGTATAATATGATATTAGGTTTATAAATGTAATTTATATACAGTAATTAAATTGATGTATTTAGACTGTTTATGGCAGATAGTAGACCCACAGCTGAAACCAAGGTCAAGGGTCTGGTATCTGCCATAAAGAGATACCACACAGTCTATACAATATAAGGTAGACTTGATTAACTTGAGCAAAGGTAGCCATAGTGTACGTGACTAGTAGTGTTCCACCATTTTATCATAAGCCCCGTTTACACTACAAACCAGTTTGGATCATAGAGGTTTAGAAACCAGCTTAATAGTGCCCATAGGCGGCTGCAGGGGCAGGCAATGAGGGCAATGCCCTACTAGAATTTCTTACCGGAAGATGACATCATCATAATTAGCAGTTAATTAATAATTATTTAGTAGTTATTACATGGAATATAGCTATTTTAATGACAAAAACTATATTATTTTGCTCCACAAAGTGATAATTAGTGGAGAATAAGCTGCTAACTGCATGGTTCAACACAGTAAGCTCCATAGGTCCATACCTATGGTCACTTCAGGAAGACATAATCTACAGTAACCTGCAGCTAGAATAACTGACTCTATCATAAAAGCAGCTTCATTATTAATCATCATAGTCAGCTAGGACTCATTCAACAGCTAAATCACCTAGCTACTGATACTCTATCATTGATAGAGGTCTATTAGGTACTAAATTTTCTCCTTTTGAACACAAGAATGGCAGAGTAACTCTTCATTGAGAATTTCAGAGCCTTTTTCAACTTGATTTCTTCACAAAATGCTGAAATAGAAGTCTTAGCAGTCTTAAAACTCAAGAACAAGACATGTGGGTGTGGTCATGGCCACACCTACATTTTGACCACTCCCACTTTCAGCCACACCTTTGCCCTACTTGCAGTGAAATCCTGCAGCCGCCTATGATAGTGCCCACATGTAACTGTGGTTGAATCGGTTTACAATGCTACATTGCATACATGATACAGCTGCTTT